CTATTCGCTATAAGAGTCCATGATAATGTTTAACCTGTCAGGACGCCGCCTGGTCTTCACTCGTCACCTGCTAGCACGTGATTCGTGACAATAATCTGGCCATATAATCTGGCCATATTGTTACGGAGTTGGAGGGACAAGGGGTAGATCACGTGTAGCACAGCACGTGCGTGTTGCTCAAATCTTGTATATAAGCTTCCGTTCCTCTGGAACTCTCTTCTTCCCTTACTTTGTTATTCGCTCAATATAGCAGTTTACACTTGACTCCGTATCTTATCACAGCAAGTAGTGGTTTACTCCACACGTTTACACATATAATCTGGCCATATAATCTGGCCATATAATCTGGCCATATAATCTGGGTTACAAAACAGGGTCTAAAATATAATAGTTTTTAGTAAATTTCGGCTAAACTTCTGACAAACCCCGGTATCTATCTCGCTTACCCTTCCCTCCTAAAAACCCCTAAAAACCCCCCTAAAAAGGGCTAAAAAAACTATATGTACGGAATCAAACCGTCTTAATTTTCAATCCATTTCCCTTGAGAAATGGCGGTGCAGGGAATCGAACCCTGATTGAAACGGGATCATGTGACCTACTCCTCTTGAAAGGAGAACCACAACGTTACGTGCTACCATTACACCACACCACCTGCTGGCTGTTTTTTGATGTGGCAATTTTGCTTATTTGACACTATTACAATTGAAGGACATTGTGTGGGTGTCAGAGAGGGGATGGGTGGAATAAGTGGGGGGAAGGAGGGGTTGGGTAAACTTTGGCGGGGAATAGCCGGATGGGTGTGACTGGAGGCTGAAAAAGGACATCAGATGAAGCGACTCTTTCTTTCGTGGGTCACTGGGAACTGCAAGAAGCTTTCCATTTTACTTATACATTTCTGTCATGGTTTAATATCTGGAACGTCTCTCGTTCGATGCTAAAGGATTTCCGCGAGAAGCCTTGTAGCTAGTTAGTTCTGTTTACAAAATCTACTATGAAGAATGTGAATCCAGAGGAAGCACATTGAATTTCTAGACTAAGAATATAGGTAATTATCCTTCACAGTGACGTGGTCGTTACTCTGTATACACCTCTCTTAGAATATTTGTTAACGCTTACTTTTTATTAACCTAGGTATACCAAGACAATTATTTTACTTGTACTAGAAGTTTAGCATAATACCTTTTTATATAGTGTGTACATAGTAGTAACTAAGTATCTTAAGCCCCCCTCCCCCCTCCCCCCTCACCTTCCCCCTTGATTACTTCCCCTGAACAGAGGTTATGCCTAACAACTGTACTACTGGGTATATACTAGTATTCACATCATGAAACCACCGTGCGCCCGTAAAACAACAAAGTTCACGATAAACTTCTAATTAGAGGGAGTAGAGTTGTTAGATCAATGATGTTGATTCTTTATACCTTCGGAGTGGTGTTTCAGAATTATCTTTGAGAGACACGCTAAACTATTTTGCAACCACTTTCCAATGGAAAAAATCTGTTATGAAAGATTTCTTATATACAACAACCCAACTTCATAGTCTCAATTGATCGCTTAGTTCCCTCTTCAACATGCCAAGAATAAGTCTCCACCCCTTATTATTTGATCGTTCCCCCGCTTTGCTTTCCTCCCCATTGTCGTCTTCTCCAAGTCATAGGAATGAACAAAATGAACCCATCGTCTTCACCTTCTTTCCTCGGCTCCCTCTTGAACTTCGAAGAGCCATCTGGAAACTGTGCCTCCCCCATCACCGCGTCATGGAAATCGACGATTGTCCATTAGCCCCACAGGAAGGCCGTTTTGATTACAGACACAGCATCAGAGGCACTTATTACACCTCCTTCCTCAACTCCCGTCCCCCACTCATCACCCGCGTGTGTCGCGAATCCCGCAGTGTGGCATATGAGAACGGCTCCATCATCACTTCGAAAAACGGACCTACTCGAATACCCGGATACGACAATTCTCTTGGGAACATGTGGTTTTGTCCGGAGACTGATATCGTGCACATGAACTACAATGCGCGGCGTGAAGTTGAAGAGGGACGCAGGTCTCCGGATCCCATTCCTTATTTGATTGAGATGGCGGAGAGGGGGGTTGGTGCATGTATTACCGCTGACTTTTTGTATCCTTTTGCAAAGGGAGGACTGTGGCCTGCCTGTTCGACTTTTGAGCAGTTGGCCAAACTGGAGGCGAGGAGGGAATGGCTTGTCGTGTTAAAGATGGATAATTTGCATCTGAGAGAAGAGGCTGTTACAAAGAGTGGGATTTTTGGATTTCTTGGGGATGAGAAGATTGTGCTCGTGGACGCGGACGATGAGGAGAAGCTCGAACGACTTCATGAGCTTTGGGAGAAAGCTAGAGAATACGAATGTGATCCGACGGATTTCGATTCATGGCCTCCTTATCAGGGCGGGGTTGAGCGGTGGAAGTATAAAGTACAGTCTCACTGGATTCGCAACTTCGCGATTCCACAGTTCTATAAGAAAGGAGGTGCGGGACAGCCTCAGACCTTAAAAGATGAGATTAGAAGAGATCCTCGCACGTATGCTGAGGGGGCAGAGTTTTGGGGAGACGGCTATGATTTAGATGAGATGCTGGATGACATGTTCTTTGAGGAGGAGCATCCTTTTGTCAAGCGCGTCCTTGCGGAGAAGCCAATTTTTAAACCGGTGATTATGCTTCGTTGTTGTGAGGAGTGTTACCGTATTACTGATAGCGATGAAATTTCCCAAGTCTCGGAGGGTACGTCGAATCGGTCGAACGAACATGATACGGAAACATCGCCCCAAGACGGAGAAGAGTCCTCTGATGAATCTGACTCAAGCACTGATTCCTCAGGATCCAGTGATTAAGCCAATTCACATTCTAAGGGTATCAAATTTCGGTTCGCTAAGTCCTATTTGGCTCACTCAGTTTTTGTATTTGCACTACCAACAACCTTCTGCAGATGTACTTAAATTTGTATACAAATCTAAATATAACGAAATGTTTAGCTAACTACCTTAACCCTTATACGTATTACTAAGATATGTACATACCAAGGTAAAAGGTTATATATTTATCTTTATATAGATACCCATAGTATACTTCGATTAATATAGCTACTATTTATAAGTATATACTAATAAAATAAGTTCTTATTAGATTAGACGTTATGTTTATATTAGATAGAAGAATATTAGGGTAGATTTAAGTAGAGTACTCGTATTAGTAATTCATAAATCTTATTTTAAAAAAAAAACCATACCTCTTTATAAGTTTACGCGTTACTAAAGTAGCAAGCGACGAATCTCGAAGAGATCTACCAGATGTTTAGAACAACAAGAACCATACTACTTCAGTGTAGTACTACTCCACTTCAATCTCCACTGTACTTAGACCCTAAGCGAGTAGCTTTGAATCCCAAGAGAATAGATTAGAGTAGGATTCCAAACCCTTCAAGTTAATTCAAGTAATTACCACTCCTCTACTTTAATCCTTCCTCTAACTCTAAGACGCCAAACAAGCCCTTATGCAAACCAAATTAATGTTCTGACTTCCCTTGTAATTTGTGGGCATTATAGTATTAAGTGGCTAGTAATCTAGAAAGTGTTCTGTGTTCTAATAATTTTGGACCATTCCAACAATAAGGAGACATACAGTCCGTGTATTATTAGTCCGTAACCCTGCACCAGCTCACTGAAGGTCTTAAAATCACCCCACGCAACCATTGAATGGAGCTTATGATATGAGTAGAGGTGTTTTCTTTCTCAACTAAACGCGAACTATATGTACAGATGAGTTTATTATGTTCCTCTAGGAATTGCAAAACTCTTAACGCCGAGACTTTTTTTTCTCCAGATCCCCCCAACCATTGCACCAACCAAATACCTATCGTTACATTTTATCTTCATCAAAGAGGCATCAAATCATCTATTTAGGAGATAGGGCAATATCGAAAGCCGGAATTAACGTCTGGGCGAGCCAGAAAGAGAAGACCAATTTGGGTCCGGTCATCAAGAGCTATTTAATTGTTAGCAAGGAATTGAAGTATAACAGCTGATATATGAACGAACCTTTGGCGTTAAACCCTTGAAGAAACTGGTAACGCCCTCGTTCTTCATCATGTCTTTCACAATCTTGAAACCACCTTCCGGGTTTTCGAAGTTTCTGTTCTGGATTCGGGTCTTGATAACATCGAGAGGTGCTGAGACCAAGAGCGATGCAGAGGCACCAGCAATGGAAGAAATGAAATTCTGGAACCAAGATGCCTTGTTGTAATCTTCTAGACCGAAAAGGTGACCCTTTGTGAATGCAGAACCACCGAAAAGCTAGAATCATATTAGTGTGGAAGAATGAAAGTGATCAGGTGTACCAACAGCGAAAGATCCTGGTGCATTTCTGGCAGCAGTCCACTGCCATCCTCGGTATAAACCGAACCCCTCATCCTTCACGATTGCGACAACTCCTCGTCCTCGGAAAGCCTCAGGATTTGTTTGACGCTTGATTTTGAGAACATCGAGAGGTAGAAGAACAATCTCTCCAATACCAATGACACTGCGAATGTTACATTAATACTAGCAAACGCAAAAGACCACCAACGTTTGCTTACCTTCCTGCTAGAGAAGACATCATAGCTTTCCCAGTCTTGTCACCAAATGTATTGTTGAAAGTGCTGCCGTGGTTTCGGGAAAGGTAATCGCGGACGAATGGCTGCCCGCCATACTTGTAGATTCGTTGGAGGACCTATTGAAATCAATATGAATTCGATCGATATTTCTCGCAACAGTCTGACCTTGTATCCAGCAGCATATCCGAGTCCAGGGAACAGAGAGAAGAACTTCTGGCCAGCGGGCGCACCGGCCTTCTCTTTGAAAATAACGGCATTTAGTTTGGCAGCAGAACCAACCTGTGGAGAGTGTGAGCAACATGTCCCAACTTCGGTCTTTATAACTCGCAGGCATTAATTTACCTTTCCTTGGTTGCTCATCAATCGTTTTGCAATGGTATCGACCTTCAATGGGTAAGCAGGGCTTCTTATTGCTCTGGGATCGAGCTGTAGCATACAGGATGGAAAACAGCAAGCTCAGCAATACCAGCAGATCCTGCAACCCTTCGCATTAGTACAAGCTCCAGGTATTATTATAAAAGAGCAGATTTTCAAACACACCAGACCCCAATAACCGTGCCAAAGTAGATTCCCTCTTGAAATCTTTCGTACCCGCAATCGGAGCGATTGCGATGGGAGACATGATGGCGGAAGATTCAGCGATCAATCGGTCGCACTTGAGAAAGTTCGTGAGAGAAGCTTCGGACACAGCAGGCCTGAGAATCAAAGGGGCTGGGTAGGAGACAAGAGAGCGTGGGGAAAGAGGGGAAGAAAAATTCGATGATATTTCTAGATCTGACGAACACTCACAAAAAATATGCTAGTGCCTGCATCGATGGCGTAAGGAGCCGGAACTTCCCCGAGCGAGAACAGGACCCCTCACCACCCAACAAGTCCTCCCCTTTCAGCGACAACGAAACATGTCGCCTTAACATAGGTTTAATTTTATGGTCAAACCTCTAAATATCAAACAATGTCATTCGAAAAATCATAAAAGAGCACAAAGACAGGTGTTTACAAGTGAAGAAAGTGTATTTTCAATAGAGACCCGGCCATAGCTAGAGCAACGAGACCTTGTTTCCATGCAGATATTTACTGTATGAGAAAAATGTGCAAATTTATTGTACCTCAGTGATAGGTATCCATCCATAGAGCAGGAGACATCCGTCATCACTGCTTTTCTTTTAACGCCGTTGCCATTAAATGCTGCAAAACGACGCCTACCCATGCAAATACTCGCCTAACAAAGTTATCGTATCAAAGTTCCACCCCAATGTTTTCCCTCCGCGAGAGTCATCCACCTAGAAGTCACGGAAGATGCCAACAAGGCTATCCAAGCGTCCAATTTGCTCCATCAACAATTCCTCCTTCCGCTGGTATTTTTTAAGCTGTTCCAATTGCTTCGGTTCGAGATAATGTTCTGGAGCAGCGTGCCGCAAATCAGACCGTTCTGTAACCTCCAGCACGCTTGTGTATGTACGCCGTTCCAATACAAGCCGTTGCAAAAGCCGAGACATTGACTGATAAATCTTGTCCAAGAGCACATCAGATAGCCTCTCAATATCGATAAAGCAAAGAAAGATAGTGCGATTATTGACACGATTCGCTAGATCTTTGGGAACTTCCTGAATTTCGATGAAGCCGGCAAGTTGCATTGCAGCCAACTTGGTTCGGACGTCTTTCTGCTGCATGAGGGCTCGCTTCTCAAGTGCCTTTTCATCAAGTCTTCCGAGCTTGTGGAGAAGGCGAGCCAGGCGATGACCTTCGATTCCAAAGTTCTCCTCTATGATCTGAAAGAGCTCCAACTCTTGGATTCTCTTCATTATCTCCTCGAAATGAACAGAATAAGTGCCTTGGCCATCATTGCTCTCCAAATGAATGAGCCCCTCTTTTTGGAGCAAATCGAGATGGCTACCTACGTAAAGGATGTGATTTTCTCGTGCAGAACCCAAATTGCGGCGCTTTTCTGGTCGTGCCGGAACAGGTTCCTCATCAAATGGATCGTCGTCTTCGTTATCGCCAGACGCATGCCCATTTTTATTTCTACCGTTCGCTTCTGCTTCTACGGCTCTAGCTTTACCAATGCCGTCACTCGCGTCAATGTCCGTGTCTTCGAGGGCCTTGGAAAGAATCGTGGTGCTAATTGTAGGAAGGATAGCGTCGTCGTCTACTTTGTCAACAATCGGGTCTTTTTTGCACCGATTGAGCTGGTTTTCAAGTTTATCTAGTAGCACAGCGTAGATAAGGGACGTCGTTTTTCCAATTGTTAGCTCGGCTAATTCAACAAGCCGTACGTTACGAAGAACAACTTGGCATTTCTTATGATTGATACGCACGACTAGACTCGGCTTCTACAGTTAGTATACGTTGCGACTTCTTAGATTCCTATAACTTACGTCGAGGCTTCCACCATCATCTTCGTAATTGTCGTCTATATTGTGAGCTGAGTCGTCAGCAGCGAAGCCATTATGGGATAGTCGTCTTCTCTTGCCACTTCTATCATTGCCGTTGAGATGCTCTCCATTTGCAGGTCTTTTTCTGGTTACTTGTGGTCTCCAGTCAGGTCCATGCGATCGCATCTTCCTCATTTCCGCACAAACGATCTTGTCAACTGCCTCCTGTTGTTTACCACCCTTTACTTGGCCCTGGTACTGCTCACGGATGGTTTCCTTTTCTAGCTGATTGAAAATATCGGCAGGGCTCTGGAACATGCCCTTGACGACCTTTTCAATGAATCCATCCTCACAAAGCCGGGCCAAAATGGTATTCAACTGACCATCAGTGGCAGTCGGTATAGAGACATGCGCGCCAACTCCATTTGTTCCTGTATGCGGCTTGGTACCATTGGTCTGTGGGTGTTCGGACTCCTCTTCTTCCTCCCGCTCTTCTTCTAACCGCCTGATTTCTTCTTCTCTTGCCTTTTTCGCCAACTTTGCTTCTTCTTTCTTCTGCGATTTGTATTGGGCTATAACATCAGATATACGAGCGTGACCCAGGAGCAATATGATCTTGACTACTTCTCGAGCCAAAGACCCATAACGGTCTTCGATAAAATTCATGATCTTGCCCGACCGCACCAAGGCATATGCGGCGTCAGGGTTTGCTTCATAGTAAGTCGGTTCTCCTTTTCCGCTGATGTGATATATCAAGTTCTGCTGGATCAAGACTGCGAGCCCATGTCGAAGTGCTCGAGAAGTGATGCGCGTATGCTTTGTCAGGGCAGATATTGGAAGTCGGCCTCGTCGAAGGAGGATGGTGAAAATGCGCTGCGCCAATGTCAGAAACCACCAATATGAAAAGTCTAGACAATTATAGGAATTGCGCCGACTTCAAGTTGAGATGGAGTATACATACCGAAGCTAATTCGCCGTAGGTTTCGTTGACCAGGTGAGCGCATAGCTCGAAGGCATGCTTAGTCTGCATGCTGTCAGTATTCTTGCTCGTGCTCGCGCTCATGCTCATAGCTCTGCGATGGGATGACTCGTCTGTCGCAAAGAGAAAAGAGGTGGGTTGCGCTTACTCCAGACATTTTTTTGTGCTGCTAGAGACTATGGTGGGACCTCTAGAGCTTCCACTTGTGCTACCGGGTCCGCATTGAATGTTGTCGGCGAGTTGGAGTATTATATTGCGGTCGTTCGAGGTTTTCTATCTGGTGAATGAATGGAGGGGCGGGGGAGGAAAAAAGGTGAGAGGCTCGCTTCACTCCGCCTGCGCCTGCCCGGCTAATAAAGCGGCCGTCAGTAGGTAGCTCTTGCTATTTTGGTTTCTAAAGCAATTGAAGGTGAAATTGACAGGTTTTTTATGCGAAAGAGTTAGGTTTATCTAGCAGTAATTCTGATATCACGATAAAGCTCATTTATATAGCTGACTAGCCCCAAAATGGCAGCTTAATAGCTTCAATGTACGAAAAGAGAAATTTGTACACCACTGCCGCTTTCCCCATTTTGCTACAACCACACCCTGTGGCCGAAGGCTGTCAGCCAATTACGACGGGGCCATTTACTTTTGAATTGAGCCCTGCACAACAACCCCGACGGACGATTTCTCAAGCTTCAATCAACGACCTGATTGACAACCACCCCTCCTCCAGAGCGACCCCTCATCCTCGCACAATCCCAACGATGATCTCACGGTCGGCGATTGGACGACATGCGCAGCTTGCCCTTCGCAGGCAAAGCTGCGTGCAACCTTCCGCTCGACGTGGTCTGGCTGCTGTTTCCACCGGCGAGACGTCCTTTTCCTACGAGTCTGCAGATGTTGGCGGTATTAAGGTAGCTAGCAGAGACGTCGCAGGTCCAACTACAAAGCTTGCCGTCGTGGCAAAGGCTGGAACTCGATACGAACAATTGCCGGGTCTTACGGTTGGATTAGAACGATTCGCATTCAAGGTCCGTAACAAATTTGGTGGGCTACAGGATGGGGTATCAATTGAGGCTAACCACGTTCCCGGTCTCTAGAACACCCAAAAACGCTCTGCTCTTCGAATCACAAGAGAGTCTGAGCTTCTAGGTGGACAATTGAATGCATACCACACCAGAGAATCACTTGTAATCGAAGCCAAATTCCTCCGAGAAGATCTACCATATTTTACAGAACTTCTAGGAGAGGTTATCGCCGAGACCAAATACACCGGTATGTTTGGCCTTGATATTTAGAAAATCAAGTCTTAATAAGGTGCTCTTAGATCATGAATATCACGAGCAGGTTGAGGAGCTCATCCACCTATCTCAAAAGAAACTTCTAGCCAATGTCTCCGAGCTCGCCATCAACTCAGCTCATGGCATTGCCTTCCACAGAGGTCTCGGAAACCCACTCTACCCAACATCCTCTACGCCGTTGGCCAAATACCTGAACGCCGGTTCAATTTCTGAATTCGCTCAGGATGCGTATGCTAAGCCAAACATTTCGGTTGTTGCAAATGGAGCTACTCAGGAGGAACTTTCCAAATGGGTTGGCCAATTCTTCTCTCAAACTCCAGCTACTTCCGCAAATCCATTCACGAGCACTTCTTCAACGTACTATGGTGGTGAAGAACGTATTTCGCACGCTTCTGGCAACGCCATGGTTATCGCTTTCCCAGGGTCCAGCTCTTTCACCTCAGGAGCTTCATACAAACCAGAAATGGCTGTTCTTGCAGCTCTTCTTGGTGGTAAATCAAGTATCAAATGGTCACCTGGATTCTCTCTGCTATCAAAAGCAGCATCCGCATTCCCAGGAGCCAGCGCTACCACAACCCACTTCTCCTACTCCGATACTGGTCTATTAGCAATTCAATTCAGTGGTTCTGCCAAGGCAATCCGTGATGCATCTACAGAGGCTATCAAATCTCTGAAGAGCATTTCAGAAGGTTCCATCAGCAAGGAAGATTTCACCAAAGCAGTGGCCATCGCTAAATATCGTGCTTTGGAGGAAGGACAGAACATTGAGGCTGGCCTTGTAGCAACTGGTGCTGGTTTGGTTCACGGTGGAAAACCATTCCAAATTAGTGAGGTTGGCAAGAGTGTTGAGAGCGTGAGCGCTCAGAAGTTGCAAGCAGTATGTTTTCTATTTCCTTGACTTCCATGATTTCTTTACTAACTTTCACATAGGCAGCAAAAGCTTTACTGGAAGGCAAAGTAACGGTTTCATCGGTTGGGGATCTATATGTACTTCCTTTTGCAGAAGAGATTGGCCTCAAGGTTTAGGCGTTTGAAGCATTGGAGGAGTTGGGTGCGGGTTGTATTAACAGCTCTTAGAGTGTATTGTAGATATGAAAAAAATCTTCTATGTTCAGTAATACTCAAACTTTCAGCGATTAGTATTGTAAAATGTTAGACCAACTGTAAAACACTTTCTGATATTAGCTATGTCCCCAAAAATCAACGGTCCTTCAATCCCCGAAGTCACGTGCGTTAGCCGGAACTTCGATTTCTACGGCGGGAGAAGCTCAACAGTTATCTTTACCAGCAACATCAACCAACCCACTACTACATCTCACCCCACACTCCAAAATACACAATGGCATTCGCGTGGAAAGCTTCAGGTCTTACGTATGTCCTCCTAGGTCTTCAGTTCCTCGGAGCCTACTCAATGGCTGGCAGGACAAGTGCTCGCAATCAACCCAGACTGACAGGTTTTCTTTCACAGCTACAACAAATATCTCTCCGTCGCCGCACGAGTCGTCCGACGCAGCTTGAAGGATGACAAGCGATTGGCAGCCGAGAAGAGAGGAGAGATGGAATTGAGATTCGCCAAGTGGAACGTGAGTTGATGAAGTCCTGATCTGTGGATGATCTTGGGATGGGAATATGGACTGACTGGTATCTTTCGGAAACAGAACGGCAAGCAGGGAGAGATGAAGAGCGTTGCGGACGCAAATGCTGCTTCAATAGCTGAGTCTACGCTATCATCTTAGGGTGTGGAATATATTGGAAGGACCGGAAGGATGAAGAGAGGATGAGTCCAAGGGCGACGACATTGTACATTGTATCATTCATGGTCGAGAGCCTCCAACACCACAATTAAAGAGACCGACTACTACAGCCCCGCAAAACTCCCGCGATTGAAGTGATATGAAATGAGGTGGATAGAGTTCTCTGGGTATACGGGCTGGTACAAAGGGTGGGATTTCCACTGGGCTTGTGACCATGTTATATTCGCGAACCACATAAACGGAGGAGTGCTACCGGCAGCTCAAAACTGAAACTTATTTTGTCAACAACATATATCTGCATAATACTACAATAAGACAGCCCTGGCATAGCATCCGACCCAACGCTCGAGTGGGAGACCCTTATCTTTCCAATTTTTCAGTAGTCTTTTCAGTATTTTGCAAAGAAATCTCTTCATATATCTCGGAAATCACTAGATGGTTTTAACGCCGTGTGATATGCTATTTTAAATGGTGGAAATTTGGGTGAATGGTGTACAAACAGAAGTAGGTAATATATACTCGCACCTAGCCTTGAAGCAAGCGCATCGCTGCCGCACTCTTTCAAGCGAGAAGTCCCGCAATCATCAACCATTTTCAGAATTCCAGCTTGACACGCGAACCCACAACAAGACTTCCCTCTGCGCGATCATGCTCAGCCAGAACCATGATTTGGCGACTCACGACCTCGCAGCTCGTAAGATGAAACCAAGCCAGATGGTCTGGATGAGCTAACATAATGCGGGCAGAGGTAGCAGCCATAGATATCGACGAGAGCCAAAACCCAAGCAGTGCAAACGCAAACGCCTTTGCAGCATGGAACGGCGAGCCGCCTCCCACTCCCAAGCTGAAGAGCAATGGGATTATCGCGATTGATATCACAGGACAGTTCTCCCATGCTGCCCAACGTAAGCAGCGAAATCCCAATTTATGTTTGCACGATCACGTGCTTATTTATGCCTTTTACAGAACTGGAACTTGGAGAGCTCATCAAAGATCCGTTCTTTACTCTTTTTGAGTCGGTTGGGGCACTAGAGGTGAGATTTTATCGGGGTTGGGCTATGAGAGAGATAGTCACTAAAGGTCAATAGATTATGGATCCGAAAATGGATAGTGGTTATTTGGAGCCCGGCGAGACGATGGAAGACGACTATGATTTCAGTCAACCATTACTTCCCGAAGAAATCATTGGGATCATCGATCAACTTCTTTGCCATGAGGTGAGTTTCCGCGGGTTCCGTATGGAAGTTCAGAGCTAATATCGTAGGTCGCCTGGCATATCGGTCATCCTTTAGGTCAAACCATCTTCACCAGTTTATACATCGACAGAATCCTGGATCCCTGCCCTACACAGATCAACCAGACATTCTTTGATAGAAGTGAAACTAGTGAGGATGAGTCGCTAAATTTCCAGATTCTCCGGGCATACTGCCTAGGTCTTATCAAGACCTGTAGTTATGTCAATGAGGGAGTCAAAGCGGAGCATTACTATGAGGTAGGCCATAATCACCCGATGAAAAAAACATTACATTAAACTACTTCGTAGGAAGAGGATTTTGCTACTCACACTTTCAACAGAAGCCTGCTTGAAAACATTGGCAAAGATGAGATTCTCCAGCTTCTCGGAGATACAGAAGAGCAGCTATCTGGGTCTACGGAGATGTCAACAGAAATCAAAGATGCTCTGATTTGTAGGGTCAGCTTTAGGAAGAAATTCTTGATGGCCGTTGAAGATGTGAATTCCAGAGACTCGATGGAGAGCATCAAAGAACATTGGTCTGGTCTGCAAACTCTCCTACCAACTCTCAAATCATCAGCGACATTGGGAAAACCAGTTCCTGGGACTTTTAGTGTTAAAATACAACGCAAGTTGGCCAGTACTGTCCCTCCGCGTCCTATAGTTGAGATAAGCTGGGAAGCCACCTGTGAACATTTGGAAAGACTCTGCCGGGATGGCTCTATTGCTGCAGAGGTTTTGAAATATTACGATTCACATAGTCTCATGGTAAGTCACATCCATTTTCAGCGTTACCAGACCCATCTTGATATGAACTAATTAAGATAGACCTTTGTCTCCTTGTTTCAAGCACGAAAACCTCAGCCGTCAGTCTACGTTCGTACTTTACTTCAACACTACATATTCGCAGATATGATCATTCTGGGATCCATTTCAATTCGCCAAGTTCTCGACGATGATTTATCGAGCACTGTGCTTCCAGCAAACATACTTCTTGATCGCGGAAATGATGAGGTAGAAGTACCTACCGATCCTCGTTTCATGATGGCAGCCCAAATGGAAAGCTTCCGTTCTCAAGCTGCTAGATCATACCTGGATATTCTCCGCACCATTTGCCAAAATCGATGTCGTATCAGACGTACGCTCTGCCGCCTTGTTGCAGATTGGGAGGTTCTCCAACACGATGCCGAAGAGATGGATGTGGATCTTCGCCAATACACTCGGGAGGAGTCCATCAATGATCCCGACATCTCGAGTGAGCCAATATACTCATTTCCTCTATCATCATGGGCATACTTTTACAAACTTCGACAAATGGAGTGGCTAGTTCAAATGGGATTTGAGCTTGAGATCTATCAATCAGATGAACTCGCAACAATGTACTGGTACCTGCAATACATCGCTAAAACACGAGCTCGTCATCTCGAGCGAATTAGGGGTTTTACTTTCAGAGCCTCTCGCCGAAATCGCGTTCCTGAGAAGCAGACAGAGGTCATAAATGCTTTGTCTTTCATCAACTACTCCACCTTGGAAGCTACCGCCACGTACGGATTTGCAGATGCATTATCGTGTCTGTTCACCGTACTTAATCGACTTTCCCTCATCAAAAAACCCGACCTTCCATATAGTAACGATCTCCAAAGATACGAAGTCCGAATGAAACCGTTCCAACTCATCGGCCTCCCTGAACTTGTCTCCCACGATGAACTCTCCAAAGTTGTAGCACAACCCGAAGAATCCACCATGGACCTCCTCAAATACGCCTCTGAATCCGCGCTAGCAGCCAAGAAGGGCTTTGAGATCATCAGCAAGTTGAATGCTAAGGATGCGTATTGTCAGGGTTCTTATGATAGTTGGTTAAAGAACGTTAAGGATTGTTTGAAGGCTTGCATCTTTACGGGCATTTCGATTGCGGCGGTTAAGAAGGCGGTGGTGGGAATGAAGGATGGTGGAGATGTGGGGATTAAGGTTGAGATTCCTGAGATTGGGAAGGGGTATCATGAGTGGTGGATTGTGCCTAAGGTTGTGCCTACTTCTTGATGTTTCTTCGTTGGCTTATTCTAGGAAGATGGGTGAGGGATAGTGCGGTGATATCTAGCCTGTGTGGTTCTTGAAATTAAGATCGTCTTTTTACTGCAATCTTGGTTTTTCCCGGCCCTCATACGATGTTCTATGAGTTTATCAAGTTGGCTTCAGCTCATTCCCTGTCCAATGATAGTACCGTAAGTGCCATAGCCAAAAGTATTAGTATTGACTCCATGGAAAGCCGGAGTTCCACACTCACTATTCTCAACTACGCGACAGGAAATTGTATTGACCGGGGAGGGGGGGCGGCAGCTCTGAATCCTTGACTGTATAGTGAGATAGCCAGCAAAATATCAGCAGTTCGGAGTCCAGAGTCAAGAAATCATCTTTTTAAATCTCGATTCCAACGTCTCTACATTCGCCATCGCAAGGCTTCTTCCCAAAGGCCCACATCAGGATTCCCTCCCTCTCCTTCCTGTCTGCACACCATGTGAACTCAAGATTATTTGAGAGCTTCCTTGGTGTATTTATGGATATCTTTGCAGACGTTTGGGATTATACAGATTATGCCGAATGTATTACCGTCAATTTTTGTCTTGTTGTCGATTTTTCAGCTTGGGGTTTTTTGTTTTGACAAGTTTCTTATTTAAACCAAGATCTACGGTCTATGGTCTTTTAAGTTTCTAACATTGACTTCACAGTTAAGATTTGTATATCATTTTTGATCTGGTAGCTCAATTTCTTCCCCGGTTGCAGTCAGTGACAGGGATGACAATTTGCTTCTCTTGAAGAGTAGTTTCTTGTGTCTTAATAGCATCAAGGCAGTCAGCTACCTCTTTAGAGATGGCGAAGAATGGCTTTCTTTCTTCTTTGCTCGTAATATCCTTGTGGTTTTCTCTGGATTGACTGCAAACTTCTCTTGATACTGTATCTCGTCATCGGTCTGAGGATGCAATATTGCTGGCAGGATTATGCTTTCCAGCCATGGGAAGGTGAGACTGTGATTCAGGATCTTGTTGAGAGCAACACGACCGCATGGAAATACGACGAAGAATTGTTGTCTTTGTGTTGATCCTGGAGAGAGGGTGATACTCACAGGTTTTAAGAATCTAAGAGTTTCAAGCTTTACAAATTGAAACGTGTCGAGCTTGTTCATTTGAGGTTATGGTCAAAAATAGAAGGGGTCAAAGTGTTATATATGCTAACCACACGTCCATGGATCAAGGTCCTTGATCAAAAGACTTGTATACAGTAAAATTTCCGGTCCTGGGATCCTAGACTGTGTTGTGTTTAATTTGTTCCTATTTTTAGATCGATATATATATCAGTTGACCAAGGTGCTAGTAACATATCTATTGGGTTGAAAGGGTATTGGGTACTGAAGGTCATGGAGAATTGATTGCATTGTAAAAGGTAGCTATCTAAGGTGTTTATATAAAGAGTGTAAGATTTAAGCAGACATGAAGCATTTAGGCAGCAGAGCTATAAGTGGATCAAATCAGGAAGTGGAGCAAAAGAGAAAGTAGACCCAGCACAACAATATCGTATATCTTTATTCAATCGTCCTTGCGGCAGGATTGAAAACTTAGCTTTTGATTGCGGGACTTTGAATCGTGGAGAAGTACGAAGATTACCTGAATATTGAACTTGGAAGACAAGTGGAATTTGTGAATTGGATAATTAGAACTTAGAGCTCAATACATTCCCTGTAAAACTTTACTCTAAGGTAAGATGCATATTTATATAAAAAGAGGAACTGAAGGAATTCACGGCGCAAAGCCACAAAATCCGCGAAAAATTCACCAATGACCTTGGCTGTGGAAGAATCACAGATTAAAGCAGCCCGAAATCAGTAATTCTGGGTGACGTAAATCCAAACCTGTACAAGGGGTAAAAACTAAGAGCAAATCAAGCATGATAAGTTGCTCGCTTACAGTAAACACACCCCATCCTCTTGCCGTTAAATCCCTATCTACCGTCGATTTCTCGCCGTCCGTTCATAAGAATATTCAACAAAATGAGTATCAGTCCGCGTATCTTCAATTCTTCGTCGTCGTCGTACACGTCATCAGCATATCGAGCGTTCCAATCATCGTTGTGTTGTTGGTCGCCAGACTCCTCCATGTTGCAGACGTTTGTAGATCTTGTTATGAGATGAGGATAAAAGTTGGGTTGTAGGAGGTTAACTTGAAGTGGGAGGAAGAAGTCAGGTTAAGTGGGGAAATCAGGAAGTGAAGCTGAAGTCGTCACCCCAAATTCACCACCAACCTCACCTTTGAAATCACTGGTCGTCAAATCGGAAATCACTCAATTACAGTCCTAGGACCTGACATTATTCGACTATCACTTATTCCTCCACCCACCTTATGCTGGCATGTGTGTGGCTAGAATCCCTCATTTGCGTTCAAAATATCTTCTTTCCTCATTCGCTTATTTGCAACAACATTGTTTACACCCCAAAATGGCCTCTGAGTCGAACTGGAATACAAAGTAGCAAAGAATCTTATGGGTCTGACATCGTCTGCCTGGGATGCTCGCCGGAGTACCGTGCAAATCTGTACATATCGCACAGAATGGACTGTTATAGCGTAATCATAAGATTAGTATACTTCCGAAGAGAAGAATTCACATACTTCTTAAATACTCCATATCTTTTGATCTTTGAGCCCCACATCCCACAGACGACTTTGGCATCTCATCCAGCCTAGCCCATATTATGCTTCAGTGGACTAGCATTTACCAAGGATGTACATCGAATGATAATTGTTTCGGGCTGCTTGAGTGTTAAATATGATAAGTATGTGCACCAACATTCTCTAGAAAACGCTTTTCTCACTAAACCTCTGACGTTTCTATGAGCCTGTCAATTTCAACCTCCGACCCCGAAGTAAAGAAGAAGTTCCCCATCCAGTGAAAGGAGCATACCTCCGATAACCCAAATGCAGCCATCCTTCCTCCAGCCTTCACACTAGTCTTTCATACTCTCCGCTGTTAAGTGTTGATGATTCTCCCAAGAACCACAACGACGCAATTACCTACCAGCAACATACTACAAGCACACTTTACTATGTTGTCACTGGGACAGTATACTCGGGTAATGGCTATGATCAAACATGATAATACACTCATTACCCACTTCATCTTTTGATACGATACGATATTTATATCTAGCTAACCAATCAGGACTTCTACCAGCTTCACAAAAGTGGAACCCGAAGAGAGCGAAGTGCAACAAATGCCTTGAACCACAAGGGATATATATATTGATTAATTCTAGATCAAGTATCTATTCGGCGGAGCTTACGGAGCCCTTCACAGGGCACATTGGTTCGGAGCACGAGGTAAGTTGAGACCAGAAAGCCTGGATCGTACAATACTTCTGACGCTTGAAAGAAGTGAAGGTTAAGCTGTCCCTGGGTCTTACACTCGCAATTCCCTCCACTATGTTGTATCGTAGATTTCGAAATGATTCTCTTACCGTCGAAACATGATCTGCCACCGAAAGGCTTCATTTCAAACGTAGAAAGGTCCAGGATGCTACTGTAGAGAACACTTGCTGAATACTACAGAAATATCACATAGTACTCATTTTAAATCGATATCAATCCATGAAATACATCGAAATCCCACCGCACTCTTTCACACTCCACCAAAGTTTGACCCATCTCGGAAATCTGCTCACATCTCATGGCTGCTGAAAGAACACTGTAGATCTTCCATTTATCCTAGCCTCAAAAACACTTCGTTTCCCAATCCCCCATCTTCCACATCCACACGTCGTAACAAACCCTCCTTTTTGTCTTGCAATTACCACAATTCATCTATTCATCTTGAGTATATCCATCAGGGGTTCGTTCAGGAACCAGGTAGTCCGTCTCCTTTGCTTCGTACTTCACACTTGTGATTTCCTACACCTTTACCCCCTTTCCAAAAAACATAATCTAATCAGCATCCCCAGCCACAACCCAAGCCAGATCACCCAACACACCCCTCCTCCAACCATCTACCCATAGCGACCTCTTCAAATAACCCAACCAAATATTCCTAGTAAAGAACCAAGAGAATACAATCAGTCATCGAAGATCAAGAACTCTACCCCGGAAAGAACACCCATCCCACCCAGAAACCCAACTCCAATTCCATCAATCCACAGTTCTCAAATTCAAGTAATAATCCCCACCGCTCCCATATCAAACCCTTAATCAAACATTGCTATAAGGTGTAAGAGAACATGTAGGCTTCACCGTCGAAAAACAATCTACCACCGAAAGAAGATGATACGCCGTCTACCAGAAGCTATAATCCATGTACAGTTAAGATGTGAAGGAACTTGTAGGAGGCCGTTGCAGTTAAAGAAAGAAGACCGTAGACATGGCCTGTAGATTCACCTCAATAAATGTCTAGGAGACATGATCGTTCGATGTATTCCGTGTTTGTGTATAGGTGTATAGCTTATAGGTCAAGGATCGCATGACCGTAGGATGTCTAATACCTTGGTATATTTCCCGCGCTCCAAATACTCGTTCGTGGCTTCCCTCCTGTATTGCTTGAAAATTTCGTCGTCATTAGATGAAAGTATATTTTGAATTATGCAACGACGGGCCAACTTTTAATGCTTTAGCCGTTGATACACGATTGCTGTAGACCTTTGATGCCCTCCGGAGCTCCAATCACTTCTCACATCATCTCCAACCCAGCTCTGAAAACCACAAAACTAAAGAGGCATGAACAATTAAAGGATCAAAAAAGTGTTTTATTTCTATGTGCAATGCTTATCTGCTATGCGTCAAAACAGAAGGAAAAAGGAAATCGAACGGTATAGGGGGTATATGTAGGGTGATGTGTGGGTTGATTCCTCTCTCAACCGAAATAAGAAGAAGGCGAAAATGTCCTATTCTTTCTTTTCTTTTCGAATCCTCGCTTCAATTAGCCGAGATCTTGACTTTCTCAAGCGCGCCCGCAAGCTCATCATCAATGACGGGATCCTTTTTCTGCGCCACAACCGGCTCGTTTTCGCGGACCTTCTCATCGGCTTCAACCTCTCTCTCGCGAAGTTCTTCCAATTCTGATTCCTCTTCTTCCTCTTCGTCCTCCTCATCGTCTTCTCCGTCGTCGCTTTCGAGATCGCTGAGACTGTCGACACCCCAGTCGTCCTCAATGACAACTTCACCAGCAAGGCTCTCTTTTCGGCCATCCAAAAGATCCTTCAACTGAGTAAGTGACGAGTCTTCCTCGGAGAACTTGTTACCATTAAGCTCAATCTTCTTCAAAGCTAGTAAAGAACTCTTAGCGACTTCTGCGAAGACTCCAAGCCCTGCCGAGGTAATATCGTTGAATTGCAGACGTAAAATTTCGAGTTTCTTGTTCTGCCCCTTCCCAAGCGAGTTGGCAAAAGCTACCGCTCCCTTAGAGCCCAGCAGCGAGTCACCAAGTCCAAGTTCCTGAATTTCAGTCCATCCAGTAACCACACCCGCCAATGCTTTTGAGCCCTTAATTGTGAAGGTGTTGTCTTGAAGATCAAGTGTCTTGATTCCTTTTGCGTTTCCAAGACCCTTTGTGAGTAATTGCTGAATTCCTTGTGGACGAATACCATTCTGAACCATCTTGACGACCTTTACGCCATTGTGTAGACTGTATGCCCTAGCCCATGCTTCCATACTGCCAGCTTCAAGTCGATTGCGACCGCAGATGACTGTCTCGAGATCCGGGACGGTAGCATCAGTCTTTCTGGCCTCGACTTTCTTTGCGTGGAGCGCAGAAAGCGCATCAGCGATTTCAATACCAGCATAAGGTCCGAGACCATTGTTATTGAGGATAAGATGTTGAAGAGGCACGTGTGATTTGAGGAATTCGACGAGAGGCTTCACAGTTTTGAGACCAAAGGCATTGTCGTTGAGATTGATGGTATGGAGTTTCGGTAACAAGAGGAGACCGGTAAGAAGAGCAGAGATTGCTTTAGGAATTTCATCCAAAAGTCGCCCTGTAAATATATCGGCCAAGTTTGCGATCTTTTGCGTCAGGAATGTCAGCAATGGAGGGGTAATAACATTTTTGAACATGTATGCGACATACCTGTAGAGTTTTCTTAGTCGCGAGAACCTTTCCTATGGCTTCGCAAGCCTCAACTCCCAAGGTATTACCGAGTAACCTAACTTCCTCCACATCAACCATCTCCCGAAGGGGCTTGATGTGCGCCTCAGCGTCCGCCGCGGTATCGAGCTTCAATCCCTTCCCTTCGAGGGTGAATATTTTTGAGGGTGCCATGGTATTTCTTTGTTGAATAAGAGATAGAAATACGAGAGCGGAGACCTTTTCTTTGATTCGATGCAAGGTTTGCGATGCAGATGCAGATGCAGGCCGTTCTTGGTGTTTTGAAGGAGCAAGGAGCCTTGGTGGGGGTCTTGTTTTCAAATGCGGGCAGATCGCAATACGTCGGTGAATCCTCGGTAGTCGGCGGAACGATTTTCCAGGGGCCCGAAAGCCGAGTGGAGTTCGAGTTGGGTTGGTCAGCGTCAATAACTCTCACTCACTCACTCCAGTTCCGAATCTCAAAATCTCGCAGACCCTGGATGTTTTACTACCAAAGCCTTCAAATCGCGGACCTAGAAATGGCCTCAAAAAGTGTCTCCATACGTTCGTGTCCCTCAACTTTCAGCTCAATTCTTTGCTAAGCGGCTCCATAGCTACCGCCACCGGCGCAAACCTACCAGCAACCAGCCAAGCAACATCAAATCCAAAGGTACCTTTCGCCGTCCCGTCTTCTCGAATCGATTGTCTAACAAGATAATTTCCAATAGCCATGCTGCGTATGTAAAGAAGAAAAAGCCTCGCGCGACGAATGTATGCTATTCAGCAATGCCAAAGACCCACAGAAGGATTGCGCTTCCACGATCGATAAATACAAAAGCTGTATGGCGGGCTTCGGATTCAATCTTCCTTGAGGGACAATGGAACTGAGAGGCTAGAAGACGAGATGATAGAATGTACGATCTGGTGTATTGTATTACAAACATGTTCAAGAGGAACTCTGGCTTTGCACTGGGTGGCGTTTGGAATATACTGGTAATAACGAATGAGCTTTATAATCGGCCATCTTGGGAAATAGATACAGAATCGCTACTCTCACGCACTCTTATTATTTCAACGCGCCTCCATTAGGTAGTAGGATATACCAAATCAAGGGTGAGTTCATTTCATATAGCGAATTGCTCTAGATTTTGTGTGGAAAAGACTCGACTACGAGTATTGATTTCAAATCACATCATTTCCCCTACACCAGATTACACTTTTGGTCTCTAAAATGTTTCTATTGAATGGTATCATCATAACCCGGCAAGCACACTCAAAATCCCCACACTCGAAGAATCATCTCTTCTTAAAATAAAAGCTCTGAAATCAGGCTTCTGCAGTTTCTTTCCCGGCCCGATCTGGAAATTCCTTGATCTCTCCTTGAGAGCCTCCGGTCCAATGATGAAGAAATTACCAATCTCACTAAGAAGCTCTACACCGGCTTCAGCTTCCTTTGATAATGGCCAACTCTTCAGTGTATTTACGTATCTTGACATATCCTTGGTCACCATCAAACCACCAGTAGCGTTCACCTGAAACTTCTTAAAGTGTTCAAAGAGGAGATCTCTGATGCCAAGGACCAGTTCGCAGCTAAAGACTTCCAAATTATGGCCATCAATGGCTTGGGAAGCTGCTAGGGCCACTTTATCGAGGAAAGTGCAAATTGAGCCGCATGTTGCTGTTTGCAAGGTCTCGAGGTACCCAGGAACCCCACGGGACCCATCAAGCTCACTATCCTTTGGTCGGAAATCCGCCTTTTTCTGATTTGCCAACAATCGGGTAACCCAATTGATAACTACTGTGAGGGTGCTTCGAACAATATTGTTCGTTTTCGACTCAATCCGCTCTACTGCTGATTTCGCCAGTAGTTCCATTGATCGTCTTACTGTTGTATTTGACTCCGCCAATTTGATCAGGACAGTGTTGATAAACCGCGACATGATGTTGGTAATTGTGATGGCTGGCTGTAATTGGGGCAGATAGGTGATATCTGGTTCCACTTTGACAGTTTCCTGAGACAGAGACATATCTGCAGCAGCATCCAACGCAGTCTCGATATAGACCTGTCCCATGCTGGTCAAAAGTAGATTGAGCAAAGCTGATACATCTTTGGGGGTATCGCTCCCACTGCCAAGTTCGAGTGCTCGTCGAACACCTTCCGCTAACCACTTCAGCATTCGTTTGGCATTGGGAATACTCAACAATCCATCCTCATCACTAACTTCGATTTCGTTCTTGGCGCTGTTGTCTTGATTTTGAAGGCCTGCGACTCTTATCATCATGGCTTTCTGCGTTGCCGTGAGTTCAGAGGAATCCAAGCGGTCAATGTAAGCGTCCTTTGCCGTTGACAAGAGTTGTGTTCCTTGTTGAGCCAGAGATGCCATGAAACCGGTAGGAGCCTTCTTTCGCCGCGAGTGATAAATTGTGTACTTGAAAAGCAGCGACGAAGACAGTTCTTCCAAACTCTTCCTTTCTCGGTCTATGTATGAATTTCCAACCAGATACGGGACGAATAACTCGTCCAGCTGCTGGTCAAGACTTAATGCAGTCTGAGCTGTGCAGGCTTCCGGGTGTTCCGTCAGGCCATGGGCTTTGAGATCTTCGATCAGATTATTGATGTAACTTCGCGAGGCATGCAGTGATCTCAGAAAGGCTAGAGAGGATATAGTATCGGCCTTTTCCAGTACCATTTCCAATCGTTGTTGAATAGATTGCTGAAAAACTCTCTGGATAAATTTGGTCAAGACCACCTCATAATATGGAAATGCTCGCTTGATGATAAATGATTCGTCCTGCATGACAACCCTGATCTCATCAACAAGCGATTGCAAGCTTGGTTCAACTCCTGGTGGATCAGAATCTGGATCCGCTAGCCGTTCCCAAGTCTCATTGTCCGTTGTCACTTCATCAGTAATTAGCTGACTTCGATCAATAAAAAACTGATGCTGATTGACAAATAAAGCAACGACACTTGATCCACCATTGAAATCGTGCAGTACTTTTGCGCATTCCAACATGTCGTCAAAGTTTTGCCTTCGGTAGCTGTCATCGAATTGCTTCAACAAGTCTTTCTCCAACGTTTCCGAAAATTTCTCTATTAGTTCTCGGGTGTTATGTCCCTTGTAGTCAACAATGCCATTCGTGACTCCATTCGTTTTCTTGGAACCGTTTGTCTGTGCCCAGGACGTGGGATCCAACCTCTGGCTCATTCTCATAAGTTGTCGAGCAATAACAGCACATCGTACCTTATTGTCCCCACTACCTTGACGTCTTATCATATCCTCTAAAGACGTCAACTGCCCGGCTTCACTGACTTCTATCCAGCATTGTATTAGGAAATTGGCGTCCTGCGCTCGTCTTCGTTGCTTGTCCAGAGCTTCTAATCTCTCTCCAATTTGCACGGCAACTAAACCCCCTCCGTCATGGTTTCGTCCGTTGATATCATTCCCATTGGTTCCATTAGGTTGGTTCAGAGCAATGTCAAGTGTCTCATAAGAATCTATGGACTCGTCGAGCTTCCTCCCCAAATCATCTAGAGTCTGGTGGTGCTGGACCTCGGCCCGTCGTACTGAAGTAAGAAGTTCAGTTTCCTTTTCTCCCAGTTCTTCGGAAAGAGTCGCAAGTTGTGCAAGGGCACCTGTGGTTTATTAGACTTCGTGCCAGTATTAGCGGAAGGGAGCCCTTACTTTCAAAGGTCCTGATGAGAGGTTTTGGATCAAAGGGTTGCTGTCCTGGCCCCGAACGCCGATTTACAGGAACCGCACTTTCTGCAAGGTCCTCGACAAAATCTCTGACAATGAAATCCTTATTTGAGAAGTTTTCCAAGGTAAAGCTGGGCCCCTTGGGGAATATCGATCGGCCACTTCCCCCGCCAACGGGGGCCTGAGATGCCATTGTCAACTCGAGTGATCTGTCGGCTTGGTCGTACTACATCGAGAAGTATGGTTACCGATCAGCCATGTGGGGATTACTCAGAGTATCGCAACGAAGGACGTGGGAGGCGGTGTTGTATCAGTTGCAAGTTTACCTGTACGGAGGTGAAAGGTTCGTCCCATCTCACTCGCATTATCCTTGGAACAACCGCCGACCACTCAAAGCTCAGCCCCGTGGCCTTGCGACAACTGGCACACATCCTTCCAGCTTCCACGCAATCCTTCCATGACAACCTTTCTTTTTTCCGGGACACAACTCCAACTCTCCACGCTCCTTCGTCCAACTTACCTTTTTATCGTATAGAGCTTCATCGCAACACTTCCACTTCTACTTCCTAATATGCCAGTCGCAAAACGAGAGACCGAACTCTATCGGCGCGATGCAAAACTCAACCACAACTTGCTTACTCCCGAGGAACGAGAGAAGCTCATAGAGGTACAACTTCCGATACATACGTCTCCAATAAGAAGCGCATGATTAAACTAATATTCACTACAGCCTTTCCTTCCAGATCCACCGCCGCGATCCTCAAAATCCAAAAGTAATGGCCTCGTCAGGAACCTCCCTGACGGCCCGGAAGACAGTTATTCCATACCACTCATCCGCGGTTTTCTGAAGAACCAGTTACACGCGCTAGTTTTCGCTATAGTTCACACCTTCTTCTCCGTCTATATACGTCTCCGCCAGGCATACCATGGTATGAAGGACCGCATATTCGCGATTCTATATTACCACCATCGAACGCCAGAGCTTATTCAGAAGGACGTGAAAGGATTGGAACGGTTACCCGAGCACGTCAGTGTTATACTGAGGCTTGAAGATGGCGGGAGGGGAGGATCTGGGTTGGAGGCCCTTGTAGACGAAGTTGCCGAAATATCAGCTTGGTGTGCTTGTATTGGGATACCCACTCTTTCAATATACGAGAGAACTGGTAAGAGGAATCATCCGATTAAGGTCAAGTCCTTTGCTAACTTGACGAAGGTATTCTGAAGGCCTATCTCCCAGCAACGCACACTGCGATACAACGAAAGCTCTCATCTTATTTAGGACCACAGCACCCCGCGCTCTCCTTGCGCGCTCCTCATATGGCTCCCGTGGATACCTCACCAACTAGCGAGAATGCGCCGACGAAGAAATTATCCGTCATCCTTCTCTCAGTGGAAGATGGTCGAGACTCATTAGTAGATCTTACAAAAACTCTCACAGATATGACCCAGCGAGGAAAGATTTCTACCAAAGATGTCAACGCAGAACTGATCAACGCAGAAATATCAGAAAGTGTAATGGCCGAGCCAGATCTCTTGGTATTGTTCAGTCCAACAGTCGAATTATCAGGTTACCCACCCTGGCAAATCCGACTCACGGAGATCTTTCATGTTCAAGATAACCAAGGAGTCGGCTATCAGGTGTTTTTGCGAGCGCTATACAATTTCGGAAACGCTCAGATGCGATTTGGCCGTTAGAGTAGGTAGAGTTTGCAATAAATGGCTACTTTTTGAACAATTTCATCTCTCTTGATTGCTCATCCCATACGTAGACCGGGCCGGTCCCAACATTATAATTATGATAGTTCTCGGTCCCTCCTTTTACCATTGCCTTTCGGAAGGTAATGTTGATTCTTCCTCCGTCCTCTGCGTTTTTTCCTGTTCTTTTGGGGATTGAATGGAGCCAGTTTGCTTGCGTTTTCCCTTTCATGAGAATCATATCTCCACTAGCCAGTGGTAATTTAATCGGTTTTGTTTCTGGTGGCGGTGGCACGTTGTCATTCGGTGGGATTGGTTTATGCTTCATGAGGAAATCTCTTCGTGCGCCGAGGGAGAAGGATGCGATTGCTGGGAGATTTCCGAGGAATCTTTCGTCGTCGCTATGGTATGAGATGCTATCTGAGCCCGAAGCGTAGTAATTGACGAGACAGAAATTGAATGTGCAGCCGGTGGCTGCTTCTGTCGATATTCGAAGGTCGTCCAGACATTTGGGAATTGGTCGAGGTGGGTATTTGGTATAGTTTCTATTGTTTAATACCTTCTTTTTGGTCTTTGCGTCAACCACTTCACCAGACTCGTCGAATTTGGATGTTTCATCTAGACCGAATACGGTTGTATATCTACCAATCCTGTTAGTGTGATCCTTTTTCTTCCTTTTGGGGGCAACATACCGAGGTGTTTTTATTCTGGTCACGATACCACCTCTGTTGATATCGTATTCAACTCTATAGAATGGCAATTTGGAACGTAAAAACTGGAAGACTTCACGTTCAAGATACTTTGGGAAGTAAGGTTCGAAGTAGAGTAGATCAAGGTCGGCTTGATCGTTGATTGCTCTTCCAATGGTTGAGGGAAGCGATGTCAGTTCTGACTCAATTGATTTCGGAAACTGCGATATTGGGAATGGATACGTTTGGTGATGAGAGTATTGTATCTGTTTGCTCTGTTAGAGCCTCTGATGATGATGACTTTGATTCGGTCCTACACGTACTTCTTCTACAGAATCATTTTCAGATGTAGATGGCTCCGTATCATTGACTCGTGCCTTTTTGGGAGGAGGCTTGAAGAAAGCATCAAGAGTTCTTTTCTTTGCCGACATTTCGAATTGTTACAGAATTATTGTACCTTTGAGTAAATTGAGAAAGAAGCTTGAGGTTCCAAAACAACCCCAGACCTAAAGCAATTACAGCCACCTGCAGCCTCGTCGACTTGACGTCATCCAATGAGGGTCTAAGCGCAAACACCCTGGTGCCCCCACCTCCGGTGGACAAGAAAAGTGGCAGAGACCTCTTTTATCTTATCCTAACTTAACTAAGAACCATTATATTATATTATTCATTTGGTATAATTAAAGTGATTTATCGAAAATGATAGTACAATAAAGGCAATTGTTCCAGAAAATACTAAACATTTTAGTACTTAAGAGTTTACTTACGCTAATAGTTAAAAATTGAATCTCTGCCACTTTTCTTGTCCACCGGGAGCCCCACGCATCTCAGCCTCGTCAAAAGAATCCACACAACCATCGCATCCCGATCATTTTGACTCACCCAAATCCAAATCCAACATCACGAAAATTCTGCCATAAAACGATACATCATGAAGCAATGGCAGTTCGTAAATCCTTACAACTCCCACTGCTCTCCAAATTACAACGAGTAAACTAACTTAAATACCCAGGACGTAAATGACAAAACCACAAACTCACCATCCACCGAATTCATGGCTCTACTGCGACCCCCGATTGTTCGTTCCGCAACAGCTGCCCTTGATCGCGCACTCTTCACCAAGACTTTTCCTATTTCGGCGGTGCGTGTCAAGAATCTAAGGGATATCTCGAAAATTAAAACGGGACTTGAGCAGAGTAGGGAGATTTTGAAACTTGAAAGACTTTTGAATGTGAGGCCGGATCCTAGTTCGACGATAAAGGGGGCGAAGTGTTTATTATTGAGACCAGAGGTGAAATCTGGAGGTGCGAGAAATTGTTAAATAAATTGGAAGGGTGGGACTAATTTTTGGTAGACCCTTCGACGTGGAGTCCATGGTTGAAAGAGGCTGTGAAGGATGAGAGTGTGGGGATCGTGGATTATGATTTGAAGCTGGATTATGAGTATTGGACTTATCGTACGTATGTGGATATATTGCAAGACATCGCAAGAAGAGAGCTGATTTTTGCTAGTTGATGTTATGACTTCTTTGCTACCAGAAGATGCATTGGGAGAAGTACCAGTTGGATTTGCCATCGTCGGCCATGTTGGTATTTACTACCCTTCCTTTCATGAAAATTATACACTAACATAAAAACAGCCCACCTAAACCTCCGAGACGAATACCTCCCCTACAAGAATATCATCGCCGAAGTCCTCATGGACAAGAACCCAGGAATCAGAACAGTAATCAACAAAATCGACGATGTAGGTTCGCAATCCGAGTTCCGAACCTTCGCATACGAAGTCCTCGCTGGACCAGATGACATGCAAGTCGAAATCTCCGAATCGAATTGTCTATTCCGATTTAATTACTCGAAAGTGTATTGGAATAGTCGGCTTCAAACGGAACACAAGAGACTTGTGGATCTGTTCCAAAAGGGGGAGGTTGTTTGTGATGTTATGGCGGGAGTTGGTCCTTTTGCTGTTCCAGCAGGCAAGAAGGGCGTTTTCGTTTGGGCGAATGATTTGAATCCTGAGAGTTATGAATGCATGAAGGATGCTATTACGAGGAATAAGGCATGTCTTTTTTCTATTCAGTTCAGACCCCTCGTTTCTCTGTCGAAATGTCCAATATTGGAATTAACAAAGCCCCCACACCTCAAACCACTTCTCTTCGACGGAATCCTCTTCGACTCAATTCCCACAACCACCAAACTAACCCACCACCAGGTCTCAACCTACGTCCAACCCTTCAACCGAGACGGCCACGACTTCATCCACTTCGCAGCCGACGACCTCCTCTCCCTCCCCATCCGCACTCGAACCCTCCAATCTAAACCACCTTCCCGCTCCGCCCCCAATAAACCCCTCCCACCCCCAAAAACCGTCACAATCCCCCAGACAATAAACCACTTCGTCATGAACCTGCCCGCGATAGCAATCGACTTCCTGGGCTCCTTCAACGGCCTCTACCACACGCACGAATCCCTCTTCACACCACACACCTCCGTAAAGCTACCCATGGTCCACGTGCACTGTTTCTCCACGAAGAGCGAGGATAACGTCAAGGAGACGAAGGAGATCTGTGAGAGGATATCCGAGAAATTGGGGTGGACGATTAAGCCTGGAGATGAGGAGGTGAGCGTTTATGAGGTGAGGGATGTGGCTCCTAAGAAGAGGATGTTTTGTGCGAGTTTTAGGTTACCTGCCGAGGTTGCTTTTAGAGAGCGGAGAGTGTTAGAAAATGTGTGAGATATTAAGAAGAAAAGAAAAGTAAATTTTTGCGTTTGAAATGAATCATGGATGAATCATGGACGAAATGATCTGAATTTCTTCTCCTTGAAGACTTGGTGGACTACTTCCAGAAACTTAACAAAAATCCTCATACTACAAACAAGATGCATGAGAGCCTGATTCTTCCCCTCACAAGAAATGAAGCAAAATCATAAGCTCATATGTGAGTATGTTCCCCCCCCCAAAACTCCTTGCAATTCGCCGCTTCAGCAGAAAAGTGTGCCTCCAACAACTATTACTAACAAAAACAACAATCCCTTCAAAATTATCAACGTAATTGGCTTTCGTCGGCTGACTCGCTTACTTCACATCCTTGAGCGAAGAAAATCCTGGCCGGGGAATCATAATCGTTTTCAATGCTGTAGAAATTTCCTATCAAAATGCATTAGTTATTGCTAGACAACCAGAAGGGGTAAGCAAACATACCTCTTGGAACCTGCCATAAACCACCTTTACCAATTCGGAATTCATTCTCGTTGACTGTAACCTTAACTCGACCATAGAACACGAAGAATACCATTTGCATCTTACGCGAGTTCTTGGGTTTCTTCGCAGCTCCAGGTGGCAGATCAACCATGCCAGATCCGAAGAAAGGAAGGGTATGTGTCTTTGCAAACTTGAAAGTACTGTTTCCGACATCACGGGTGATGATAGCGGCGTTAGAGAGTGCAATCTCATCCTCCCTCTCATCGGTCTCAGCACCAGTCGGGTCCGCGGGATCCCATTCCTGAACATTTCCATATATCTTGCCAGGTTCAATTTCCCAAGGCTCAGACATTTCCTCGTCTTCTTCCTCAATGGCAACCCGACGCTTCTTTGATTGGCCTGATTTAGATCGCGATGCTGCTCTCGCATTTCTTGTTGGCTCAACCTCATCTGCACGAACGACTTCTTTGATTTTAGGTAGCATGAATTTTCCATAGCTATCTTCGGTCTCCTCATCCGAGTATTCGACTCTTTCATTCTTCCAGTAGGCAAGAGGTTTGATTGAGTTACGTCCAGAGCGTGTTCGCTGAAATCCCGCGCCTCCATCTAGAGGGTTCTCTCGTCGAAGAATCATTAGTCCTTGATTACTTCTTGGAAGAGGTGGGCCGCGTTTGACTTCTGGCGAGCGTGTCTCTGGTATCGCAGCTAATTTCGATTTCTTTGCCACATTGGCTCTCGAGGCATTTAGAACAGTTTTTTGAGGCTTTCCTTGGGCTTTCTTAGTTGGCTCCGGTTGAGAAACCTTCCTCTTTGTTCCTGCTTTCTTCTGTGGTACTGGTTCAGGCTCTGGCTCCTCTTCTTCTGGCTCTTGTTCGGGCTCGGATTCCGAAGCTCGCTCCGCTTCCTGCTGAGGTTCAGGCGCTGCTGCTTTCTTAGGGCGACCTTTACTCTTCTTCACGGGCTCTGGTGCTTCGTCGAGCGAACGTCGCGTTCTCTTTGCTTGTCTGGGAATATCATCTTCCTCTTCTTCTGAAATTGCTGGGGCATCGATCTTCTTTGGTCGTCCTCGAGATTTCTTTGCAGGCTCTTCAGATGGTTCAATAGATGCCGCCTTGCGCTTTCCCTTCTTGCTGGGCTGAGGCTCGGCCTCGGGCTCTTGCTCCTCTTCCTGCTCCTCAGTTACAACCTTGCGCTTTCCTTTCTTCATTGGTCGCACTTCTGGTTCGGGTTCAGATTCGGGCTCCGATTCTTGTTGTGCCTCAACCATCTCATAGTCCTCCTCGGGTTCATCGTCTTGTTCATAATCCACCATTTGTATCGAGTCCTCTGCATCGAGAACTTTTGTATCATCAGACGCAGCTGAATAATCGTCTTCCCTACTTTCCAGCTCCAATTCAACCGAATCCTTCCGCGCTGGTGGCACGAGCCGGGTTGCACCGTTGAGTCTTGAAGCACTTGCGACTGGGAATACGGATTTGGCCCTTTTATTCGTGCCGACCGCGACCTGGTTAGAGTCCTCCTCGTTTCCAGAGAAATCGAGTTTTCGTCGAACTGACGCAGCTACTGACGCAGACGCCGTTCGCGGCGGAGCTGTTGATCCTCTATTGGGTGACAAGACGCCGCCGCCAAAGGATGGGTTCTTGCGAGCGGGAGACTTCAGAAATGTCTTGATCGGAGAATTTGAGCGCGGTGGTAGGCGGAAGCTTGCGCGTTGCTCAAGGACATCTTCAGGCTCTGGAATCGTGCCTTTTGAAATATTAGCTCTTCACTCATGGGGTCTATGTTATTAGTACATACTGCTGCCCATATCCATTTCCTCGTCGCTTGAGATTGTCCTGTTGGGATAGCCGTTGGATGCCTTTCCCTTTCCCTTTCCCTTGACCGACTTTTCAGGGGAGGAAAACAATCCATCCATCGGTTCCAATCCATTCTCGTCGCGAATGCCTGTATCTGGGAGGGTAAGTCCAGTTTTCCTACAATGGCATCAGTAAATAACCATTGTCGCAAACTCGTGGTCAGTATGCTCTCACCTTCCCCTCACTCCCAGATCGAACAAGTACTGGTTCTCATTCTTCTTGCGCTTTGGTTGCGCAGTATTTCCGTTCGGTGCCATCGTGGTGTTGTCTCAACATGCGCCGAATGGTGCGAGTGAGAGCGCGTAGCGTCGGTAGGGTGGTTGAGATGTGATAGAAGAGTTTGATGCAAATGCAGGAGTCAGCGAGATAATCACAGCTTCACACGCGAAAGTACGCGTGGATATTGTTCAGTGGATGTGTTGTGTTGCGCTGGCAATCGGTGGGGTTGATTATTTTTAAAAGTTGCGCTCTCTCCTTTGGGATGGGATGGAAAGTTTGGACCTGGACAGGGACGGGATCCATCAGTCGGACACACCTGCATGCATGCAGCCAAGACTCTCGTGATCTACAGTAAGAACTTCAAAACAACCTTGGAATTAAAGTAATCTGATTGTAATTTGACTGCAATTTTCTTGACAGGCAAACTTTAACATGCACTAAACAAATCACATTTCAAAGCTTCTATCAATCCAGAAATTTCTGTCGTAAGCTTCTCATTCCAATGAGATTTGGTAAGTACTAGGCACTTCTGTCAAAATAGGATGCTTTCGTGAAATACAGGGATCTCTATGGGTAAACTCTGGGTAAACTTTTGGCGTTCACTTCACGTCTCCTAATTCAAGTCGCGTTTTCTACATTTCTACCGCAGATGAGAAGTTACAATTTTGGACCAGCATATCAAAGCATATCAACATTACAACACCACATCACTACAAAATGGCAGACACAAAAATGGACGAAGATATTGCCCTCGAAACCCCAGCTGCAGATGTATTCATCGCTCCCTCCATCCATCACGACCTCCTCATCTCAGGCGCATCCTATAACCACTTCTCACCCGTTCCACCATCCCTCCTCCCAATGCCCAATTCCGACCCAGATACAGAGCCCACAGCTGGTCCACCATGTGCACTGGGAGTCGACGAAGCTGGTCGTGGTCCAGTTCTAGGACCTATGGTCTACGGACTTTTCTACCTCCCACTCCCATTATCTGATCCTTTACTACGCCAAACCCATCATTTCGACGACAGTAAAGTCCTGACTCCTGCTGTACGCTCGGATCTCATGGAGAAGTTGTGTACGTCTGCAACGGATCTTTATACACAATGTGGATGGGCGGTGGAAGTCATGTCTGCGCGGGATATTGGCGCGAATATGATGAAGCCGATCAGTACTTATAATTTGAACGCCCAAGCTATGGATGCGACTATTGGATTGATACAAGGAGTTTATAAAAAGGGAGTCAATGTGAAGGAGATTTTCATCGATACGATTGGAAACCCAGAAACGTATCAGAAGAAATTAGCAAAGATATTTCCTACGGCCAAGGTCATGGTTGCAAAGAAGGCGGATAGTTTATATCCTTGTGTTAGTGCCGCTAGTGTATGCGCAAAGGTTACGAGAGATGCCGCATTGGAAGTCTTATACGAAAGTTACATTGAGCCTTCAAAAGACGAAAAAGAAGAAATGGGCGGAACAAAAGTACCAGAAGAGGCATCCTGGGGATCAGGATACCCTTCAGATGCAAGGTGTTCAGGCTGGTTGAAACGTAACATGGATCCAGTATTCGGCTGGGGAAGCGAATGTCGATTCAGTTGGGGAACCGCAAAGGATATGTTGGATTTGAAGAATGCAGCAGCCAAGGTGGAATGGCCGATTGAGGGAGATGACTCTGCGCGATTGACGAATTACTTTAGTTCCGAGAAGGAGAATGATACCGATGAGCTGGGATCGTGGTTTGGACATTCTGTTGAGGAAGTCTTTTGAAGAGTCGAATTGTATAGTTTTGGCTGGTATGGGTTGGCGTATCTGGAGTTGGAAACTTGTGTAATAGGGGTAATTGAGATACCAAATGTTACTTGAATAAAAGCATTACTGTAATGAACTTCCCTAACTTCCCAGCTGTATGTCGTATTTACAAAGTCCGTGAAAGCAGGGCAAAGTACCGCCTGCAACAATCAAACACCCACCCGCAATTTTCTCTTAAGACTTACTCCTAACCTCATCTTCAATATCTCCAAGATGCCTACATGTATAGCTCCTCTTCGTAACATCACCCATTCACCCACCAATCCCCCACACCACCAATCCCCCCCC